ACGAGGGAAAACAGCAAGAGAGGGGTCAGGAGGAGGAAGCGGAGGACCAGAGACGGGAGGAGAGGGGGAGGAGGAAGGAGAGGGAGAGGGGAGACCAAGGGTCCGAAGACCCGAGACAGGAGGAGGAGACGGCTGCTGCTGCTGCTGCTGCTGCTGGGGCTGCTGCGGCTGCTGCGGCTGCTGCTGCTCCAGTGGCTGCTGCTCCTACTGCTGCTCCTACTGCTGCCGCTCCTGCTCCTCGAGCCGCTGCAACTCTCGCTCCTCTCTCTCCAACTCCAGCTGCTCCTCACGAGCACGGCGAACACGAGCCTGGAACCTGGTCGGGTAGGGGTGGGGGGAAGGAGTAGTGTCCGGGGCAGCGGCAGCCCCAGAGTCCACCTCCGAAGCACCAGGCACACCACCCCCAGAGGCAGCACCAACACCAGCTCCAGACCCAGGCTCACCAGAAACCGAAGGGGGGTCACCCTCACCCCCAGACGCAGCACCCCCAGACTCCGCACGACCAGCACCAGCTCCCGGAAGACAAGAGTCCTCTGCAACCCGCGGCTCAGCTCCAACTCCAGCACCCCCAGAACCAGAAACCGGTACAGGGACAGTCTCAGTACCAACCTCTCGAGAGGGAGCACCTGCAGGAGGCGGCGAGGAAGACTGTGGGGAGGGAGGCTGTACAGGGGGGGCTACCGAAGGGGGAGGGGTAGCCTGGGACACACCGGACGGGGCTGGACCAGGGGGGGGGGGGGCTGTACCAGGGGAGCAGGAGGGGGAGCGGCAGCGAGGAAAAGAGGGGGGGGAGGAACCGGGAGACCTCGACTGGGGTACCTGACGTAGTAGGGGGTGGACTCCTTGAAACGAACGTCACGGGAGTCAAAGAACCGGTGAGAGGGAGGGTGGTAAAAGGTGAAGTCAGAGGAGTCCTCAGGGAAACCAAGGAAGACACAAGGAACGGCGCGAGGCGAGAGCTTGTCCGCGGAGGTGTCGCGGACAAGAGCCAAGCACCCCCAGACACGAAACCGCGACGCAACACCAGGGGACCCGGTCCAAAGACTGGTCGGTGAAGCCTCTGGCCGAGAGACGCGTGGCCAGAGGTTCAGCTGGTGCGTGGCGTACCTAACCGCGTAGGGCCACAGAAAATGGGGGGCACGGGCGTGAGTCAGGGAGGTGCGGGCGATCTCCATGACCAGGCCTATGCGACGCTCAGCAACCCCATTCTGCTGTGGGGACTCTGGAAGCGTCCAGGACTGACGAATGCCCTGTTCGCGACAGAATCCAGCGAGAATGCCGGAGCGAAACTCACCCCCGCGGTCGGAGTGGAGACAACCGACAAGACGACCACGAGTGTCCTGCGTGGTAAGCAACCACCTGATCAGCGTAGAAGTCACCTCAGACTTCTTCGCCAGGGGGAACACTGTGGTGTAGCGGGAGTAGTCGTCAACGACCACAAAAAAGAAACGCTCACGCTCAGGGCCAAGGCGAGGAGAGGGGCCCCAGACGTCCAAGTGAAGCGTCTCAAAAGGCTCGGTGGCCGGACGAAGGGAGGAGGAGTGAGGGGTGGCGCGCAGCCTACCCTCGACGCAAGGACCGCACGGTGGTGCAAGGGACGGCGGCAGCGACGGCAAGACACGCGGGAGACCTAAGACAAGACGCTGACGAGACATAGCGCGCAGACGAGGAAGAGAAGGGTGCCCCATCCGGTGGTGCCACAGAACGGTGGGGTGGGCAAGCGACCGGCAGGAGCACGACGCAGCGACTGGACCAGACGTAGGAACCTGACAAGACACAGCTACCTGGGGGGACGGAGCAACCTGGTGAGACGCGGGGACTCGAACGGGGGGCGAAACATGGACCGGTGGCAGTAGGGGAGGCTGCCGCTGCGGCTGCTGCTGCGGCTGCTGCTGCTGCTGGGGCTGCTGCTGCTGCGGCTGCTGCTGCGCACTCGGGCCAGTGTGAAGAGTGTAGAGACCTGAGCCCGGCTCAGCAGCAAAGGTGGCCAGAGGCTGGTAAGAGTCCCCGTCAACACACACCGCAGTCTCTCCAGAAGGCTCAAACCACACACCCACGTGCTGACTCACGAGGGGTCGCACGCCCACCAAGTTCCGTGAGAAAGAGGGGACGTGAAACCCAGTGAGAGACCCAGAAGGAGCAGCAGGACACGGCAAAGTGGTAGTGTGACGCGCGGTGACTGGTCCCGAAGTGGGATCAGCCAGCGCCACAGAAACAGGCGCAGGAAGTGGTGTAAGTGTCGTGCTGTCACGAAAGAAGCAGTGTGAGGCTCCAGAGTCCAGCGTGAACGACAGCGAACCGTCCTCCGAGGTAGCCGCTGGACTAGAGTCTACACAAGAACCTACACTAGCAACAGGCAACGGAGCAAGGCTAGCACCTAAGCTAACAACACCAGAGTAAACAGAGTCAGAAACACTAGAGTCAACAACAGCATACATAGCATGGGGAGTACCAATCAGATCAACTAACTGCTCAGCAGACATGCCCCACAGAGCGGAGCCGTAACGCTGAACAAGAGGAAGCCAGTCAGGGGCAGGAGCACCAACCCCGTAGACCAAACGAACCGTGTCAGTGAGCTGAGCAAAACACTGACCAGGGGGGTGAAAGCGGCCACAAGGGTGGCCCCGGCGAGCACCTGTCAGAACCTGATAGGTGCAGGGAGGGTAAGCAGCACCGCTCGGGGTCTGACGCAGCCCCAACCCCGGAGCCAGCTGCGGCCGCTGCTGCTGCTGAGGCTGCTGGGAGGAGAGGGGCTGCCGCTGCTGCTGAAGCTGCTGCTGACGCTGAGCCTGGTACCACGCCGCTGCTCCACCTCCCGTGGCCGGAAGTACAGGAGGCGACTGACGAACTCGGGCGTCGCCACCACCAGCAGGCGCAGTGGAGTCACCAGTCGCTGCACGAGACGCCTCTCCAGGCCCTGCACGCCCACCGCCGCCAGGCGCAACGTCACCTCCTCTACCTCCGCCTCCACCACCACTACCACCACTAGAACCGCCTTTCTTGCCACCCCTACCGCGGGACCGCGACGCAGTCGTAACAGCAGCTGCAGTCGCGTCAGTAGCGGCAGTGGCAAGAGAGGCAGTAAAGGTGGGTAACTGCGGGACTGTGCACCCGTGGAAGAGTGGGGGGGGCACAGCACCAGAGGCAGCGGCTACCGAGCGAAGGTTGCTCTCGACGTCCTTGAGCGCAGACTCAAGGACCTCGACGGTGAGCTCACTAGGGTGCTTCAGCAGAAGCGCGTCGCGAACGGAGGCAAGGCGGTCAGGGAGGCTAGTGGCGATGAAATAGATAGTAATCGCCATAGGGGGAGGAAGCAGTGCAAGCTGTGCCTCAGTGCAAGCAGCGCGGTAACTAGCGTCGAGCGAGCGGAGGTGAGCGATCAAGTCAGCAGAGCGCTCAAAAGACGCAAGGTCAGGGAACAGGAACGGGAGGAAAAGGCGGCCAAGAGAGACAGTAGCGGGAGTAGAGTAGCGGGCCTTAATCGCAGTGAGGTACTCAGCAGCGGTGCGAACCTGAGTGAAGTGAACCTCCTCAGACTCAGGGAGGAGGCTGCTGAGCGCGATGCAGGCCGCAGCGTCACGCGACGTCCAAGCCGTCTGGTCAGCTCGCTGGGTGGTAAAGTGAGCTCTAGCGGCGTCGTCAGGGGCAGGTCCTAAAGGCGTAGGGTCGGGGGGCGCAGGGAGGGCACCAGCAGCGTGCGCCCAGAGGGTCTCGCCTGCCTGGACCTGACTCTCTAACAGACGGCGAGCGCGAAGAAGCCAGACGGAAAAGTCAAGAGGTCTACCGTCAGCGTCGAAACGAAGAACACGCTGAGTCGCCATAGCGAAAACGAACGGAAGAAGCGGCGGGCAACGGGAGCGGACGCAGCGGTGGAAAACGGAAGTGGGGCACGGGCCAGGGCGACGGGCTAGGGCGCGGGCTAGGGCGACGCGCTAGGGCGCGGTCTGGGGCGCGGGCTAGAGCGACGGTTTAGGGCGCGAGCTGGGGCGTGGGCCTGGGCAACGGGCAAGGGCGCGGGCCTGGGCGACGAGCTAGGGCGCGGGCTAGGGCGACGGGCAGGGGCGCGGGCCTGGGCGACGGGCTAGGGCGCGGGCCTGGGCGACGGGCTAGGGCGCGAGCCAGGGCGACGGGCTAGGGCGCGAGCCAGGGCGACGGGCTAGGGCGCGGGCTAGGGCGACGGGCAGGGGCGCGGGCCTGGGCGACGGGCTAGGCGCGGGCCTGGGCGACGGGCTAGGGCGCGGGCCTGGGCGACGGGCTAGGGCGCGAGCCAGGGCGACGGGCTAGGGCGCGGTTGGACGGGCAGCGGGGGGAAGCACGGGTCGACGGGCAGCAGGGGGAAGCGCGGGTCGACGGGCAGCGGGGGGAAGCGCGGTGCTACGGGCAGCGGGGGGGGAGGAAGCGCGGTTCGACGGGGGGGGGGGGGGAAGCGCGGTTCGACGGGCAGCGGGGGGAAGCGCGGGTCGACGGGCAGCGGGGGGAAGCGCAGCGCGACGGGCAGCGGTACGCTAGATCGGGCTACACTGGATCGGGCTACGCTAGATCGGGAGGAAGAACGAGCGGTAACGAACGAACGGGACTAGATCGGGCCGGCACTAGGCTCGGGCAAGACGGGCGAAACGAGCGAGACAGGCTCGGAAGAAACGAACGAGGACGGGAGGAGCGGGATCCCACAGGATCCGAACCTAGGTGATACCATGTCAAACTGAGGAATTGATGATGCATTCATGTTGGTTGGGGTACAAGTAGCTAACCCTAACTTTTGTACTCCCTAAGACAAACCTCACTATAGGCTACCACATTTGACAATACGGTACCAGTACCAACAATTTGATCGACTAGTTTTAGCTCGATTGTATAGGAATGGACTACACAACTTTTCCAATATCACATGTGCCCACAAAGTTTACATTGTAGCTGCTGCCTTTGCACACTCTGCTGTCTCTCTCCCGCCTGCTGTTGAACTTCATGAGAGTAAGAGACATTTCCATAGTGTAACATTCTTATGGTGTAGCTGCTGCCTTGGCATTCAATGTTGTGTCCCCTGCCCGCCCTTCAAAGCCTGGCCGCATCAACTTCTTTTCCCGCTGCAATATATGGCGATCGTGGAAAATAGATGCAAATGCAATGCAAACACCACATTCAATGAGCACAAGTTCAGTGAAAACATTTTGAAAATGATCAATGAGCACAAGACCCTCGCATAACGTCCTCTCCTCTGTGACGGGAAATTCAGTGCATAAAATGCATGAAGCATTGACATGCAGCCCATGCATGCATGCCACGTCCGATCCACCACCTACCCGTGCAATCTTAGCAGCAATCTTGTTGTCCTTCCTCTCCTGAATGTTCCCCTTGCGCTTGTCCTGTCTGTCCTTCATTGCCTTCCGCACTGCCTTCTGCCTCTCTTTCCTGTTCACGGGGAAACATATACACACAGGGAAAAAACCGCAAATTCAAGTTGCAGTGGGTGCAGCACACGCCGTGCAATGAGGTGTCTTCCATGCCCCCCCCCACTTGTCCTGTCAAGAGGGGGCGAAACATATGCATGCAGGTAAAAGACAGCATATCCGGATTGCAGAGAGTGCAAAACAGAACAAGCCATGTACTTCCCTGTTCACTCCCTTGCTAGCCCTGTCTGTCCTTGAACCATGTGCGTGGAATTGAGAGCAGAACACACCATGCAGTGTGATGTGGCTGCTGTGCCTGTGCTCCCTTTGTTAATTTCCCAATAGTAACCCACCCCACCACACCTTGCCGCACATCACCACTCACCATAGCTTGGCGCTCTTCTCCTTCTGCCGCTGCTCCCTCTTCTGCTGCTTGCTCAGCATATTCGGATCATCAAACACCTTCCCGCCTGCCGCCCTGCTGCTCGCCGCATTCCACAAGTGAGTTTCCTGGGTTAGGGGGGAGAGTCATGGGGGCGGGATGGATGGAAGCACGGGGATGGGTGGGCATGGAAGGAATGGGAGGTCAGAAGCATGCTGCCTGCCGCCCTGCTGCTCGCCGCGTTCCACAGGTGGGTCTCCTGGGGGAGGCAAGGCAAGGGAACGCTAGGAAAGAGAGGGAGAGGGTTAGGTGCTACAAGCATGATAAGCATGGGAGGGAGGGGAGGGTATCGGAGACAAGCATGATAAGCATGGGAGGGAGGGGAGGGTATCGGAGACAAGCATGTTTGGATCGTCAAACACCTTGCTGCCTGCCGCCCTGCTGCTCGCTGCGTTCCACAGGTGGGTCTTCTGGGGGAGAGAAGGCACGAGAACACTGAGGGAGGGAGAGGGTCAGGTACTACAAGCACGATGCGCATGGGGGAAAGGGGGGGATATCGAATATAGCATGTTGGGATCGTCTGCTGCCTGCTGGTGGCCGCATTCCACAGGTGGGTCTCCTGGGGTAAGAAGGGTGATGGACGGGAGAGAGGGCGGTGATGGACGGGAGCGAGAGTCTCACGTAACTTTTGAGTCGACTCAAAAGTCAGCGCCGCATTCCACAGGTGGGTCTCCTGGGGTAAGGGGGGCGATGGACGGGAGAGAGAGTCAAGTAACAAGCATTATGCGCATGAGAAGGGGGAGAGGGTGTCAGATACTCTGGGGATAACAGAGGATACAAGCATACTATGTTCGTCAAACACCTTGCGGCTGCGTGCTGCCTCGCTCCTGGCCGCCTTCCACAGGTGAGTCTCCTGGGGTTAGGGCAGAGAGAGGGGCACACGGACAAACAAACATGGGTTCACAGTCACTTGGGTTCACAGTCACTTGGGTTCACAGTCACTTGGGTTCACAGTCACTTGGGTTCACAGTCACTTGGGTTCACAGTCACTTGGGTTCACAGTCACTTGGGTTCACAGTCACTTGGGTTCACAGTCACTTGGGTTCACAGTCACTTGGGTTCACAGTCACTTGGGTTCACAGTCACTTGGGTTCACAGTCACTTGGGTTCACAGTCACTTGGGTTCACAGTCACTTGGGTTCACAGTCACTTGGGTTCACAGTCACTTGGGTTCACAGTCACTTGGGTTCACAGTCACTTGGGTTCACAGTCACTTGGGTTCACAGTCACTTGGGTTCACAGTCACTTGGGTTCACAGTCACTTGGGTTCACAGTCACTTGGGTCCCTCTCATGCTCTCCCTCTCATGCTCTCCCTCTCATGCTCTCCCTCTCATGCTCTCCCTCTCATGCTCTCCCTCTCATGCTCTCCCTCTCATGCTCTCCCTCTCATGCTCTCCCTCTCATGCTCTCCCTCTCATGCTCTCCCTCTCATGCTCTCCCTCTCATGCTCTCCCTCTCATGCTCTCCCTCTCATGCTCTCCCTCTCATGCTCTCCCTCTCATGCTCTCCCTCTCATGCTCTCCCTCTCATGCTCTCCCTCTCATGCTCTCCCTCTCATGCTCTCCCTCTCATGCTCTCCCTCTCATGCTCTCCCTCTCATGCTCTCCCTCTCATGCTCTCCCTCTCATGCTCTCCCTCTCATGCTCTCCCTCTCATGCTCTCCCTCTCATGCTCTCCCTCTCATGCTCTCCCTCTCATGCTCTCCCTCTCATGCTCTCCCTCTCATGCTCTCCCTCTCATGCTCTCCCTCTCATGCTCTCCCTCTCATGCTCTCCCTCTCATGCTCTCCCTCTCATGCTCTCCCTCTCATGCTCTCCCTCTCATGCTCTCCCTCTCATGCTCTCCCTCTCATGCTCTCCCTCTCATGCTCTCCCTCTCATGCTCTCCCTCTCATGCTCTCCCTCTCATGCTCTCCCTCTCATGCTCTCCCTCTCATGCTCTCCCTCTCATGCTCTCCCTCTCATGCTCTCCCTCTCATGCTCTCCCTCTCATGCTCTCCCTCTCATGCTCTCCCTCTCATGCTCTCCCTCTCATGCTCTCCCTCTCATGCTCTCCCTCTCATGCTCTCCCTCTCATGCTCTCCCTCTCATGCTCTCCCTCTCATGCTCTCCCTCTCATGCTCTCCCTCTCATGCTCTCCCTCTCATGCTCTCCCTCTCATGCTCTCCCTCTCATGCTCTCCCTCTCATGCTCTCCCTCTCATGCTCTCCCTCTCATGCTCTCCCTCTCATGCTCTCCCTCTCATGCTCTCCCTCTCATGCTCTCCCTCTCATGCTCTCCCTCTCATGCTCTCCCTCTCATGCTCTCCCTCTCATGCTCTCCCTCTCATGCTCTCCCTCTCATGCTCTCCCTCTCATGCTCTCCCTCTCATGCTCTCCCTCTCATGCTCTCCCTCTCATGCTCTCCCTCTCATGCTCTCCCTCTCATGCTCTCCCTCTCATGCTCTCCCTCTCATGCTCTCCCTCTCATGCTCTCCCTCTCATGCTCTCCCTCTCATGCTCTCCCTCTCATGCTCTCCCTCTCATGCTCTCCCTCTCATGCTCTCCCTCTCATGCTCTCCCTCTCATGCTCTCCCTCTCATGCTCTCCCTCTCATGCTCTCCCTCTCATGCTCTCCCTCTCATGCTCTCCCTCTCATGCTCTCCCTCTCATGCTCTCCCTCTCATGCTCTCCCTCTCATGCTCTCCCTCTCATGCTCTCCCTCTCCCTCTCATGCTCTCCCTCTCATGCTCTCCCTCTCATGCTCTCCCTCTCATGCTCTCCCTCTCATGCTCTCCCTCTCATGCTCTCCCTCTCATGCTCTCCCTCTCATGCTCTCCCTCTCATGCTCTCCCTCTCATGCTCTCCCTCTCATGCTCTCCCTCTCATGCTCTCCCTCTCATGCTCTCCCTCTCATGCTCTCCCTCTCATGCTCTCCCTCTCATGCTCTCCCTCTCATGCTCTCCCTCTCATGCTCTCCCTCTCATGCTCTCCCTCTCATGCTCTCCCTCTCATGCTCTCCCTCTCATGCTCTCCCTCTCATGCTCTCCCTCTCATGCTCTCCCTCTCATGCTCTCCCTCTCATGCTCTCCCTCTCATGCTCTCCCTCTCATGCTCTCCCTCTCATGCTCTCCCTCTCATGCTCTCCCTCTCATGCTCTCCCTGCTCTCCCTCTCATGCTCTCCCTCTCATGCTCTCCCTCTCATGCTCTCCCTCTCATGCTCTCCCTCTCATGCTCTCCCTCTCATGCTCTCCCTCTCATGCTCTCCCTCTCATGCTCTCCCTCTCATGCTCTCCCTCTCATGCTCTCCCTCTCATGCTCTCCCTCTCATGCTCTCCCTCTCATGCTCTCCCTCTCATGCTCTCCCTCTCATGCTCTCCCTCTCATGCTCTCCCTCTCATGCTCTCCCTCTCATGCTCTCCCTCTCATGCTCTCCCTCTCATGCTCTCCCTCTCATGCTCTCCCTCTCATGCTCTCCCTCTCATGCTCTCCCTCTCATGCTCTCCCTCTCATGCTCTCCCTCTCATGCTCTCCCTCTCATGCTCTCCCTCTCATGCTCTCCCTCTCATGCTCTCCCTCTCATGCTCTCCCTCTCATGCTCTCCCTCTCATGCTCTCCCTCTCATGCTCTCCCTCTCATGCTCTCCCTCTCATGCTCTCCCTCTCATCTCTCCCTCTCATGCTCTCCCTCTCATGCTCTCCCTCTCATGCTCTCCCTCTCATGCTCTCCCTCTCATGCTCTCCCTCTCATGCTCTCCCTCTCATGCTCTCCCTCTCATGCTCTCCCTCTCATGCTCTCCCTCTCATGCTCTCCCTCTCATGCTCTCCCTCTCATGCTCTCCCTCTCATGCTCTCCCTCTCATGCTCTCCCTCTCATGCTCTCCCTCTCATGCTCTCCCTCTCATGCTCTCTCACTCACACACCAACTCACCACTTCAGCCAGCGCCTTGCCTCCCAGTTTCCGCCCTTTCAGCTTCTCCTGAATCTTAGCCGCCTGCTCCAGAAGCTTCTTGGCAGATACCTTCCCGCCCTCCTTCTTCCCCTTCTTCCCGCCTCCCATCCCCGGCCCTGCAGCTGCCTTATCCCCCAGTTTCACCCGCCCGAACTCCAAATCTAACGGGATAACCTCATCGTCAGCCAACCCACGTCTCTCCTCTTCTCCTCCTCCTCTTCCTCGTCCTCCCACTCCCCTCCTGCTCCTCTTCCGCCCTTCCCTCCACCCTTCTCCTTCCCTATCCGCTCCTTCTTCCCCTCTTTCCCCCCATCCCCTTCCCGCTCCTGCTGCTTCCGTTTCCCACCCACCACCGCAACCTCCCCACCTCCTCCGCCTCCCCCTTTCCCCTTCTTCCGCTCCTTACCCCCTTTCTTCCCCTTCTTCTCCCCCTCCGCGCCCGTCTCTCTCTGCTTCTTGCGCCACTCGCTAGCAGCAGAAGCTCTCTCCGCGTGCCTCCGCTTCCTCAGCTCCTCCAGTCGCTGCTGCAGCCGTGCCCTCAATTCCTGATAGTCTGCTGCTCGCCCCTTCCTCCCCACGCCTGACAAGGGCGAGTGGCAAGGGCAGAGGGACACAGGGAGACAGAGAATGGTAAACCAGAAGGTTCTACATCGCCCTCTCTTTCTCTCCCTCTCCCTCTCTCCGCGTTCCTCTGCTTCCCCAGCTCCTCCAGTCGCTGCCGCAGCCGTGCCCTCAGCTCCTGATAGTCCGCTGCTCGCCCCTTCCTCCCCACACCTGACAAGGGCAAGGGAAGAGAAAATGGACAAAGGTAGAAGGTACCATAAAGGAGGGGTTGGTGGGAAGAGTCTGAATTTCTAAGTGACTTATGATGCACCAGCACCACCACCACCCACCACTTTGCATCACGCATCACCGCTCTCACCTGCTTCTTTCAACCATTGATCCATCGAATTATCCATATCCCCCTTACCCCCCATGTTCCCTTTATCCATATCCCCCTTACCCCCCATGTTCCCTTTATCCATATCCCCCTTACCCCCCATGTTCCCTTTATCCATATCCCCCTTACCCCCCATGTTCCCTTCCCCTCCTTCCCACTTCAGATCCACCAGAACCCACCAGCACCACCCACCAACTTGCACCATCACTCCCCACCACATTCCACCGCACATCACCGCTCTCTCACCTGCTTCTTTCAACAGTTGATCCATCGGATCGTCCATCTCCCCCTTCCCGCCCTTCTTCCCTTCCCCTCCGCCCCCTCCCCCTGACCCGAAGCCACCTCCCCCAAATCCGCCCGCCCCTCCGCGCCCTCCCCCCTGCTCCTGCTGCTGCTGCCGCGCCTGCAGCGCCTGGGAGGTGCGCTGCGCTGCTGCTGGGTCCAACTGGGGGGAGGGAAGAGGAGAGGAAAAGGGGGGTTGGGTTGGGGGAGGGGAAGGAGGACAAAGGGGAGTTTGAGGCGCCCCATTCAGCCTGCAGCTCCTGGGAGGTGCGCTGCGCTGCTGCAGGGTCCAATTGGCGGGGGAAAACGGGAGCGGGGGCGGAGAGTGGTGGGGGGAAAGGGAGGGGGTGGTGGTGGGGGGGGGTGGGTGGTTCGGGACGGAGGAGGTGGGAAAGGTGAAATATCACTTAAAGGGACCTGCAGCGCCTGGGAGGTGTATTTTGAGTCGACTCAAATCAGCGCCTGGGAGGTGCGCTGCGCTGCTGCTGGGTCCAACTAGGGTGGGGGGGGGAAGGGTGGGGGGTGAGGAAAAGCGAGGAATGGGGAAAGGGAGGCAGAGTAGGGGGATGTGAGTCTTGCATGCAAGTACACAAGGGGTCAGCTTTCCCCTGCTCCTGCTCCTGCTCCTGCTGCTGCTCCTGCTCCTGCTCCTGCTCCTGCTGCTGCTGCCGCGCCTGCAGCGCCTGCTTGCGAGGTGCGCTGCGCTGCTGCTGGGTCCAAATGGGGGGGGAGAGGGAAGATGAGGATGGAAAGGGGGAGTCGGGTGGGGGGAAAAAGAGGGAAATGAGCCGCTTTGGAAAGGGGGGGTCAGGTGGGGGGGAAAAGAGGGAAATGAGCCGCTTTGGAAAGCCTGCAGCAGCTGGGAGGTGCGCGGCGCTGCTGGGTTCAAAACGAAAAGGGAGGGGGGGGGGGTGCGGTGGGGGTGGGGGGGAGGATAAGGGGAGGGAGGGTGGGAATATGAATCTTCAGCAGGGGAGGAAGGGGGCTTCAAAAGCAAGCCAGAGAGGGTCAGCCCCCCCCCTGCTCCCGCCACTCCCGCACCTAAGAAGAATCTTGCATGCACGCACGCCAGGGAGGGTGAACGTTCACCCCTGCTGCTGCAGTGCCTGGGACGTGCGCAGCGCTGCTGCAGGGTCCAACGGAGGAGAGGAAAGGGGAAGGGGGGGGGGCGGAGGAGAGAGGTGGAGAGGCGTAGGTGAGGGGTGGGGGGAAGAGGGGATTGGCCGGGGGAAGGAAGTGGGAGGAGGTCGAGGCCCAGGGGAGAGGAAAAGGGGGGGGGGGGGGGGGGAGGAAAAGGGGGGGGGGGGAGGAGAGGAAAAGGGGGGGTGATAGAGCTGCGAGAGTTGGGCTGAGATGCAAGGTGAGGGGCGGAAGGGAAAGGCAGGGGCTTGCAACTTGAGCACATTTTACTTCAACAAATGGCTGGCATCTCACTTTAACAAGGGACGATTCGCCTTAGCCCATGGACACACTCCAAACAGGAGCAAAAAGTCAGTTAAACCCCAAACCCCGCCTCAGAATCTGGTGCTGCTCCAACAGCGGGATTTAGTCTCCGAATCTATAGTTGAAGGTTCAAGCTTTGAAATTTAAGGCGAAATTCCGGGTTTAAGGTCACATCTCATTGCGTTGCGCTGCCGCACCTTGGAACCTAGGCTCGGCAGGGAGGAATGGAGGAGACACACTGGGTGGAAGCAGGGGAAGAACCAGCGGTGATGCCCCCCACCAGCGGTGATGCACCAGCGGTGGTGCGGTGGTTAACCTCCCCTTACCTCACCTTCACTCTCTTCGCCTCACATCAACTCCCTTTGCGGCTTTGCCCCATCGTGAAACGCTTCCCCTCACCTTGAGCCTCTTGGCTTTCTTCGACTGCTCCTTAGCGGCCCGTTTCGCCTCCGCCTTGCCGCCCTCCACCTTCTCATACTTCTGTACTCGGTAAAAAGTGGACGCGGTAAAGAACGGATGGGAACGTCTGGGAGATTGTGATTTGAATAAACGCGCGATTGGCATGCACGCACGCAAAGCTTGCTGGGGTATCTCGGCATTGACCTAGTACGCGGTATAAGTGCTTGTGTGACAGTAACAAACGGGTAAGGACGACGGGATGTGCCTGTAACGCATGCTCATAACACGTACGAGCGCGGCGGAGTCCGCTTATAACGCGTACCAGGGCGACAGAGTCAGCTTGCGACGGGAGGTAATGCCGCAACGGTATTAAGTCCACGAGGTGGTCGAAGACTGAAACGTAAGGGTTTAAGGGGAGAGGGACGGGGGATAGGGACGGGGGAGAGGGGCGGGGGAGAGGGACGGGGGATAAGGACGGGGGAGAGGGGCGGGGAAGAGGGACGGGGGAGAAGGACGGGGGAGAGGGACGGGGGAGAGGGGAAAACAAAAAGGGGAAGAGGTAATGCCGCAGCGGTATTAAGTCCACGATGTGGTCGAAGACTGAAACGTAACGGTTTTAGGGTGAAGGGACGGAGGTGTTGGGTTCAAGGGACGGGGGAAAGGAGAAAAAATAGGGAAAGAGGCGCAGCAATATTAGGTCCTCCACGAGATAATGGGGGAAGGGGCGGGGGAAATGGGCGCGGGAAAGCTTAAAAAGGGGAAGAGATGGAGGTAGTAAAGACGAGGAGAATAAGCAATGAGTATTGATATTTGAGATGATGCTGATGTTCAAATCGGCGCACTGACATTGGCTGTCTTCCGCGACTCGTCGTTTTGTTGTTCCGCCCGGCTCGATCCGAGCGATGGCACCCATCCTCGGCTCTATAACGAGTCACAAAAACAGTCGCTCAAAACACCTCTATAGCGAATCACCAATCTAGTCGATATTCGTCTCTCAGTCGCACAAACAAAAGTCTGTTTCTTGCATTATCGACCCGCAAAAGAAGGCATCCGCCCACTCTAAAAAACTACTAAAATCGCGACAAACCCTAGAAAACCCTGATTCCTCCTTGCACGAAGTACGTCTTAGAAGGATGACAAAGGAAACATCTAAGAAAAAATAGTCGATACAACCAGCGACACGCAGTACGAGCTCAGTAAGAGCTCCAGGCTACGCAGGAGCGTGTAAGACTGCTTGTGGTGCTAGCTGGAACGACTAAACTGCTGGGCGGTTCATCCTGCAAGGAGTTTTCAGTCGCTTGGCTTCGACACGGTTGACTCCGATATTATGCATAGCACGGGGTATAAGTACTGAAGTATGATGAATCACTATGCTAAATCTACAAAATCTGTTACATATGAAAAAATGTGAATTGGGCTAAACAAGCATACTAGGTGAGAAATATATTAGGTGTTTTTTGCTATTTAATCATGAAAAGTTTATGTCGAATTTGTATACACTTCTGTAACAGCTTTGTTTTGTTACAGCGGTTCATATTCTATTACGTGTTAGTACCACTACATCTATCCTGCACGAACGCGTACGTGGAGTGCTGAGGTGGAACCTATCTGAACCAAATGAATTTCGCAAGCATTTTGATAGCGCTTTATGCGACAGCATGCGATTTTAGCGAAAATTTAGTACCTGTTATTCCCAAGTCACTGTCATTCCCCACCGCCAACCTGACAGCGACTGACTAGATGCTTACCTTCGACTGACAAGGATACCTGGGAAGCTGACAGGGCGAGGAATCGCCAGCCAATGGCTGACGCAGAGTCCTCCGAGGCTGACGTGGCAAAAAATCGGCAGCTGATAGAAGCGTCGCGCGAGGGCGATTTAGCTACAGTGCTGCGACTCATCAAGTGAGTCCCATCGAATGGTTACCTTGTAACACGACCATAGGTTTCCAGGCAGCACGACCGCGACCCAAATTCGTCCGTTTTCGCTGGGTTTTTTTCTGTTGGCTACATTGAAGAAACAAACCCCTTAACCCTTTCCTGCCCAACTCCGGTACATGTCACTTGTCCCCATTCCTCTTATACTCAGCACTCACAGTCCCTTTCTCACGTTCCCTCAACGCCCCCCAGCCTCTCTCCCACCTTCCTCCCTACCCACCACCCATCCTCCTCCTCCTCCCCCTCTCTCCCCCCCCTCCTTCCCCTCCCCCGGCCTCATTTCTCCCCTTTACCCCCCTCCCGACTCCTTTTCTTCTCCCCCCCCGCTCTCTTCCTCCCTGGTAACTCCCCCAACCCCGTTTCCCTTTCCTTTCTTCATCTAAACCCCCAGAGAAGGCGCTGACGTGGCGTATGCTGACGTGGAAGCGCAGGGGAAGACGGCGCTGATGGCGGCGGCGGAAGGGGGGAGGGCGGAGGTGGTGCGGGCGCTGCTGGGGGAGGGGGCGGTGTGGAACGCGGTGGATATGGGGGGGAAGAGCGCAGGGGATTATGCAATGGAGGGGGTAGTGGCGTGGGGGGAGGGGGCGGAGGGGGAGGGGGGGAGGAGGAGAAAAACGAAGAGGAGAGATCGAGACGACAAGAAGTGCTGGATACACTGATTGATGCTGGTAAGGCTGTAGTGTGTGTGTTGGGGAGAGCACGTGGGAAGGGGATGTTGGGCATCGGGAGGGGGGAGGGGGGGAGAGGTGACTTGGGGAGGGGAGGGGATGGGGGGAATGTGGGGGAAGGGAAGGGCGGGAGGCAGGCATCCGACAAGAGCTCATTGTCAATCAGCCAGTAAGATCCTGACACCTGGCAGCACAGCAACAGGAGAAGAAGGAGCAGCAGAGCAGTCAGCACCTGCCCCAAATGACGCCTACCTGCGGCAGGTGTCAGGATCTGCCGAGCAGGCATGACTGAGGCTATCCCTCCCTCCCTCATGCTCCTTCCCTTTCTTTCCTTCCTTCCCCATTCCTCTCTACTCATAAAACGAGCCGTGTTTTGAGTCGACTCAAAACACGGCCCACGCCCATTCCTCTCTTCCTGCCTTTGCCTCACCTCTCGCTTCACTCACGCGATTGAATCGCCCTCTACACAGGCATCAAATCAGAGCTCATCCTTGGGGCAGCCAGTAGGAACTTGACACGTGGCAGCACAACATCTGGAGCAACGGAGCAGTCAGCACCTGCACCAAATGCTGCCTACCTGTCGGAGCGGCTGCAGCTATCCCTCCCTCACACCCTCCCTCCCTTCCTTTCCTTCCTTTCCTTCCCTTCCCTTTCCTTTCGGTCCCTTCCTTTCCTTCCTTTCCTTTCTGTTCCTCCCTCCTTTACTTGTCTCTCACATTTCGTTTTCTTTTGAGTCGACTCAAAAGTCACCCATCCCTCCTTTACCTGTCTCTTACATCTCGTTTTCTTTTGAGTCGACTCAAAAGTCACCCATCCCTCCTTTACCTGTCTCTTACATCTCGTTTTCTCACCCCTCGTACAGGAATCAGATCAGAGCTCATTCTGGGCGCAGCCAGTAGGAACCTGACACGTGGCAGCACAGCAGCAGGTGCAGCGCAGCAGTCAGCACCTGCCCCAAATGCAGCCTACCTGTCGGAGCGGCTGCAGCTGTCTGAAAGCCGATTGGTGGATGGGGAGGGGGGTGGTGTGATGATGCGATGGGAGGGGGCGCTCATGCAAGCCCACGCGCAAGCCATCTGCCAACAGGTGTGTACAGTGCTGTGCTGCGCTGTGTTGTGCTGTGTGTGTATCATCCTGTGAATATACTTTCTGCTGGACTGGAGACTGGTTGATTGGTGGATGGGGAGGGGGTGTGATGATGCGATGGGAGGGGGCGCTTATGCTAGCCCACGCGCAAGCCATCTGCCAACAGGTGGGCACGGTGCTGTGTGTTATCTTGTTGTGTGTTATCTTGCTGTGTGTTATCTTGCTGTGTGTTATCTTGTTGTGTGTTATCTTGCTGTGTGTTATCTTGTTGTGTGTTATCTTGCTGTGTGTTATCTTGTTGTGTGTTATCTTGCTGTGTGTTATCTTGTTGTGTGTTATCTTGCTGTGTGTTATCTTGGTGTGTGTTATCTTGTTGTGTGCTATCTTGCTGTGTGTTATCTTGTTGTGTGTTATCTTGCTGTGTGTTATCTTGCTGTGTGTTATCTTGTTGTGTGTTATCTTGCTGTGTGTTATCTTGTTGTGTGTTATCTTGCTGTGTGTTATCTTGTTGTGTGTTATCTTGCTGTGTGTTATCTTGTTGTGTGTTATCTTGCTGTGTGTTATCTTGTTGTGCGGTATCTTGTTGTGTGTTATCTTGTTGTGTGTTATCTTGCTGTGTGTTATCTTGTTGTGTGTTATCTTGCTGTGTGTTATCTTGTTGTGTGTTATCTTGCTGTGTGTTATCTTGTTGTGTGTTATCTTGCTGTGTGTTATCTTGTTGTGTGTTATCTTGTTGTGTGTGCGTATTCTCTTGTTGTGTGTGCGTATTGTCTTGTAAATGTGCCATGTGCTGGGCTGGGGTAGAGACTGGTTGATTGGTGAACGGGGGGAGGGAGGGGGTGTGATGATGCAGTGGGAGGGGGCGCAATGCAAGCCCACGCACAAACAGGCCATCTGCCAGCAGGTGTGTGTTATAGCAGCAGGTCTGTACTATGCTGTGTTGAATGTGCTTGCTATGCCGCAACCAACGAGTTGGGTTGATTGGTGGACGGGGATGGGGGTGTGATGATGAGATGGATGGGAGGGGGCGCTCATGCAAGCCCACGCCCAGGCCATCTGCCAGCAGGTGTGTGTATTGTGCTGTGTGCTGTGCTGTGTTATGTGTGTACTATCTGGTATCTATAATATGTGCTGTGTGGCGCTGTGCTGTGCTGTGTGGCGCTGTGCTGTGCTGTGTGGCGCTGTGCTGTGCTGTGTGGCGCTGTGCTGTGCTGTGTGGCGCTGTGCTGTGCTGTGTGGCGCTGTGCTGTGCTGTATTGGAGATTGGTTGATTGGTGGATGGGGACGGAGGGAGGGGCCTCTGATGCAAGCACATGTGCAAGCCCCTGTTTTTCCTTCACTCTAGGGAGGTGCCTTTTGAGTCGGCTCAAAAGTCATCAGCATCTGGCCCTTATGCCCTTTTGCCATCATCATGCACGTTTTTCCTTCACACTCTATGGAGCAAATCCTCCGTAGATGAGTCGAGTCGATGCACGTTTTTCCTTCACTCTATGGAGGAAATCCTCTCAACATCGGGTCTGGCATGAGTCGAGTCGAGGAGACCCTGGCACGACCCTGCCATTTCTGGCACGACACTGCCATTGCTGTTACGACCCTGTGCTGTTACGACCCTGTGCTGTTACGACCCTGTGCTGATACAAAACTGTGGTGTTACAAAACTGTGGTGTTACAAAACTGTGGTGTTACAAAACTGTGGTGTTACAAAACTGTGGTGTTACAAAACTGTGGTGTTACAAAACTGTGGTGTTACAAAACTGTGGTGTTACAAAACTGTGGTGTTACAAAACTGTGGTGTTACAAAACTGTGGTGTTACAAAACTGTGGTGTTACAAAACTGTGGTGTTACAAAACTGTGGTGTTACAAAACTGTGGTGTTACAAAACTGTGGTGTTACAAAACTGTGGTGTTACAAAACTGTGGTGTTACAAAACTGTGGTGTTACAAAACTGTGGTGTTACAAAACTGTGGTGTTACAAAACTGTGGTGTAACTTTTCAGCCAGTCTTTCCAACCGACCTCCCAACGCTTTCTTCTCCCTCTCTCCCCCTCCAGGGAGGGGATATTCTCAACATGGTCTGATTGACACAGCCACTGCCATTGCTGCTGTGACCCTGGCTGCTATTTAAACCGTTGTGCAGCTCTCCCAACCTCTCCCGACCGCTCCCAACCTCTCACTTCCTACTCCCTCCCTCTCTCCCACTCCAGGGAGGGGATATTCTCAACATTGGCTTTGGGATGGGTCTTATAGACACTGCCATTGCAGCTCGCATCGGCCAATCGGAAGGCGGGATTCGATCGCACACTATAGTGGAAGCGCATCCAGACGTTATAGCGAGGATGAAGGCGGACGGGTGGCATGAGA